GCCGCGGAGCCGCACCCCGGTGCACCAGGCTGCTCCGACGTGAGTGGCTTCACCCCGCTCCGACCGGGCTGCTGGAAACGCAGGTGTGTTTATGGGAAGGAGCACCGTGCCCTGCCGATAAGGCTCTCACCTTTGCACTCCCGAGCCAGAACAGAGCGCTTGCACCTTCTTCAGCTGATACCTGGAAACGGTACTGCTGGAAGCAGCGTTTTATTGCCGACGCTGCCGGCGTGCCGGCCGCTGTGCGGTGCCCAGACGCGCTGCGGGCCCCGAGGAGCCGCTCTGCTGTGAGCGGGCAAACCAGAGCGACAGGGAAGGAGGCAGCTCTTTGCGATTCCGCCCAAACAACCCAAGGGTGGTTTAAGGTTTATGGGTGGCCAGAACATGCGTCTGTGGCGCAGCGTCTGGCGTCCTGGCCCTTGCCGGGGCCGCAGCGGGTGCCGGGCTTGAGGATAAAGAAGGGGCAAGCGGGTGGTGACATTTCCCCGCCTCTGGTGACTCACGGCTCAGGCACTCCAGCGCCAACAATGTGCCTTTGTACCGGGAGATCTCAATGGATTTCTCTTTCGTGGTCTTGTCTGGTTGGCTTTTGAGCCCGTGTAAAGCCCATAAATCCCGAAATAATGAATCCCAGTTTAGCTGCACCTGGTGCGACGAGAACGCCCCTCTTTGTGGGGATTGAACCTGACATCTGCTCGTTTTGCTGCATGCCCGCCCCCCTTTAGAACAAAAAGCTAAATCCAGCCATTATTCATCTCCTCCCCTGCCAGTCAAGACTTGAGAGCCTGCTATCGTTTCTGTCAACTGTTTTTTTCCTAGGCTGAGTCAGTGAAACGGCAGTGAGGACTGGACAGTGAAACCTGCCTGGCAAGCCAGCGCTTTGGAGCTAATCCCTGTGTTCACGCATCCATGGTTTACCCCGGAGCAGTGCCCGAGCGCGGTTACTAAGAGGCTCCCGCGAATCCCGCTCAGCGCTCGTATTTTGGCACAAAAACGAATGCTTGATTACAAAACCCAGGTGTGATGGTGTGATGGCAGAGTGCCAGCGCGGCTCAGGCACGGGTTCCCGGCGTCCCAGCAGTGCCGGGGCGCGGCTGACGTGGCCGTGGAGCCGGCCGCGGGATGCGGCATTTGCTCATTGCAGGGGTTTGGCCTGGCTGACCTTTAAGCGTCCCTTCCAACCCGAACCATCCCGTGGGTCTGAAGAGCAGGGCCCAGCAGGACTCAGAGACACGTGAACTCGCCTTAAACCCCCTGGAGACACCTCAGTTCCTCACATTTTACAGGGCAGAGCGAAACTCCACCCGCACAGCTCTCACTCAGGGTTCGTGCCCATCAAACCACCGTACGGGACCCAGCACGAAGGGAGAGGGAAGGAGGCAACTGGTAAAAATAATCCGTTCCAAGTGGGCTTCTGCAAAGAATCTGACTTTGTGCCCAGCAACACCGACTTAAGAACAGGAGAGTGCCGACATGGAATGGTTCCAGGATGAGGAATAAAGGCCGTCTTTCTGGCCACCGCGCACTCGGGGCACCGATGGCTCCGCGGAGGCCTCAGGGAGCGCAGCGGCCGGGTCTCTGCCCAGAAGCCGTCTGCGCAGCCGGTGGTCAGGGGTTAGAGGTGATTGCTGTCATCTGTCCCACTGCTGCGATGGGTGCTGCACGTGCCGTCCCGCTGTGGTGGCTATGGAGAAGAATGTCCCCAAACAGGGAGGATGCAGAAACGCAGATGAAAGATCCCAGCGCTGAAGAAAAATGCCTGAAAGGACAGCGTTGTCCAGCTTGCTTGGCTCTGGCTCGGTGCTCTGGGCTGCGGCTGCCACGTTTAAGGGCAAGTGAACACGCCGGTGACAGTCAGCAT